AAGAGAAGTTGTGACCCTGAGAGTCCGTGGGAGTTCCCCAGAAAGAAAGTTGTTAGACACTTTCCTGGGTTCGGAATTAAAGAGGAGGCTGGATGCAGCAGTTACAAAACCAAGGACACGCCCTAAGCACATGAATGAATCGTGGCCTCTACAAGGCTGACAATGAGCTTGGGGTGGAAAGTTGGAACAGACATGCGGTTGTTTTTCAAAAACTCGACGAGTAAAACTCAACCTGGCTCAGTCAAGTTTTTTTCCAGAGGATTCTCGCACCCGACACTCGACCCGTGACGAGTCCCCCAAACGAGTTGAGTTTCGAAACTCGACTCAATGCACATGTCTGAGTTGGAAACTTGAGAGATGCAAGGAGAAACAAACAAAGCAGGTAGCATGCGAACTCCTGATTTTGGTGTTTGGCAGTGGAGCAAAGTACTTGCAAAATACCATTTGACATATCAGGGATAGTAATATTTACCCTTTAATTGAGAGAAAGACAAGGCGGGAGAAGAGATTCTTCTGAAACATGTGTACTGGAGCTGCTTACAGCCAGTTCAAACCGGGTAGCCGAAGCAGCCCGGATGGGAAAGATCCATGGAAATTGTTGTCATTGAGGATTCTGCACAATGGTAACAATCAAGAGCCTCGATCAAAGTCGCCTCAGAAATTCAAGCACAAGGCTGAACAGATCCTCAACCCCGCTACAGTTCGCAGTAGTGCAACTTACAGGTAGTAAAGGCCGACAAGCTTGGTCAATTCGCGGGGGATAGTCCCTGTGAAACTGTTGTTGGCCAAGTTCCTGCCATTCCATGACCATTTTGATTGCGATTGCCATTTGAGTTGTTCAGTAGGAGGAACTACTGCAAGAAATGGCAGCAGCTACTTCATCAGTGCAACCCGCCTTTGTTTGAGGTCACGCATGGATGCATTACAGGAATACAAGGCTCTTATGCGCAGTTCCGCTGGAAATGAAGCAAACGAGAGCGAGCCGGTTCGGCTCGGTGCTTTGCTTTGCTTGCGTTCTTGCTCCTTTAGTGCAACCCGCTTTTGTTCAACGCCACAAGTGTCTTACCGGAATCCAAGGCCCGTCTGGCGCAGAATAAAATCTGGGAAGGTTCCAGTGAAATGGTTGTTTCCAACATCCCTTAATGAGGCCCACAGCGTGGTTGGGAAATAATGAAACAAATACTTAGGAAAGCACATTCACTCATGTACAGGCCACTGCATACGTGCTTTGGCACTTGCATATGAAGGCAGGAAAACAGTTGTGTGAGTGAAGATATGAAACTGTACAACAACAAGCACACATCCAGCATGAATTGGAATACAAGGCTACATGAATTGATAACCGAAGCACGGGCGCACAAATACTCAGGTGAACTTAGAACAGGGGCAGTCACAACGCTTACTGTTGCAGCAGCATCCCACCCACCCGATTAAGTTCCATGAACGGGGTTGTTGCATTGATGAGTTGAGAGATTGATCGAGAGGACTCACAGATAATAGAGGTAACTGATTGCTGTGAAGGACGCGGGAAGCACACCAGAGAAGTTGTTGTTATTGATCAGTCTGCATAGCCAGTACAGAAGAGAGAGGGTCCTAGCTCAGATGTTGCAGGCAGCCAAAGTGGACCAAGGGAAGCGATGGAAAGCAAGGAGAAAGGAAGCAGGGTGAGGGAAGAAAAAGGAAGCAGGGTGAGGGAAGGAAAAGGTAGCAGGGTGAGGGAAGGAAAAGGAAGCAGGGTGAGGGAAGGGAAAGGAAGCAGGATGAGGGAAGGAAAAGGAAGCAGGGTGAGGGAAGGAAAAGGAAGCAGGATGAGGGAAGGAAAAGGAAGCAGGGTGAGGGAAGGAAAAGGAAGCAGGGTGAGGGAAGGAAAAGGAAGCAGGGTGAGGGCCAGCTGAGGTGGTGAAGAGGGGAGGGGAGAGGACTCACATCTCTTGGAGCCATGTCATCTGAGCCACCACGTCAAGGCCTGAGCTGAGATTGTTGAAAGAAATCTCTCTGTCACGTGGAGCTCGTGCACGCATGCGCATGCCCGCACACACACACACATAGATATAGGCAACCAGCTTAATGCTGGGAAAGTTGCAACTATGGTCAAACGAGGCACAGCAAAGAACAATCAGTAACACGTGACGTGAGGCCCTCCAGTTGATTGTGTTTATGTAGCAGTTTCATGTAGTGGGGGCAGGGAGAGGTATATGGGGGGGGAGAGCAGCTTGCGGAGAGACATACAGACGAGTCATCCCAGTGAGGCGAGTGAAGGTGCTGGGGATGGCTCCTGTGAACTGATTGTAGGACAGCTCACTGCAGCCAGGGCAGCCGAGAGGAACCATTGCAGATTAGAAAGGGAGTGACACAAGATTTGAGAATTGGGGTGAGGCCGAGAGTGCAGGTGGGAGGAGAGCCCAAAGGGTGAATAGGTCCGGAAGTTAGAAGATGAGTGTGTAAAGATGATCAAACATGGGGGCCTCACAGATAAGAGAGGTTGGGTAGTGCCAGCAGGTGTGGTGGGATGGGCCCAGTGAAGTTATTGTGGTCGAGGAATCTGGATAGGCAGACAAGACAGGAGGCAACGAGAGAAAGGGGAAGAAGAGAGGAGCAAAGGATGCGAGGCCATGAGGAATAAGTGAAAGGTGGGAGAGAAGAGGCCATGAGGAATAAGGTTTTGAAAGTACAAAGTGAAGATGGAGTGCAAGGTGGGGGGAAGGGTTGAAGGGCCTGATGGTCACATCAGGACAAGAGAGACGGAAGAGAAGGGCGGATGGAAAACTGAAGTAAACGTGAAAATGCTGCACAGATCAAAAGAGGGAAAAACAGGAAGTGAGAATGGGGTGGTTGTTGTGGCTTGGCATGGCAAGGTAAGGCACGAAGCCATACAGCAGCAAGTGTTGAAATGTTGGTGGTGTTGAAATGTGAGATATTGCAGCAACGAAGTGATTGGGAATCACATAGGGGTGATTGGAACTTGACGGGAAGTGGTTTGGGTTACGGTCGGGAAGGAAATCGGAGTAGTTTGCGGGGCAGCCTCGTTACATGGCATGGAGCTGGAATTCAGGAATTTGTTCGTAAGGCTGTGTGAAAGAACTGGTGCAGACCATCCCACTGGAATGGCGGGTGGCTACTTCGCAAGTAAGGTTGCATAAGTCTGCAGCTACATACTTTTTCATGGCTTTCTGCATGATTGGTTAAAAGCATCAAGGTTAGCAGAGGCAGTCAAAGGATGCCAGAGGCTTGTGCCTCGTGCAAAAGAAATTGGACCTCCGACAGAAAAAGAGTAAGGGGTCCAAGCACAGAAACAAAGGACTGGAAGATCTAACGAGGCAAAGAAAAATCGCTCAGCAGGGAATGCATGAAGGAAAGGAGGAAGCTGATTTTTGAAAATATACTGCATCATGAAAGTATGGGAAGTGGAATGTCCTGGGGTGAGGCTTGTGACATACATTGGCTGGGCGGAGGGAAGAGCGGCATACATTAACTGGATGCTGGCGGCAAATGCAGGGGGAATTGTACCAGACAGTTGATTATACGACAGGTCTCTGCAGTAGCGGGGGGCAGGAAACAAGTGGTGTACGGAGTGAGGAAGGGACGATGGATATAGACAAGGACAAACAGAGTGAGGGTGGGACAATGGAAGCAGGGAGGACACTTGAAACGCACATTGCAGTCAGGCCTGTTAGGGCCGAGAATGCTGCCGGAATTGTGCCTTCAAATTGGTTGACTCCCAAGTTACCGATAGAGAGAGAGAGAGAGAGAGAGAGAGAGAGAGAGAGAGAGAGAGAGAGAGAGAGAGAGAGAGAGAGAGAGAGAGAGAGAGAGAGAGAGAGAGAGAGAGAGAGAGAGAGAGAGAGAGAGAGAGAGAAAGAGTGTGTTGTTTAAAGAGCCACTGAGATGCTAGGCTTTAAGCAAAGGAAAACGCTGCCTTATTTCTGTAAGAGACCAGTTCTGGTTCGAGTTGAACCATTCGAAACCTTCGAATCAAAGCAAGTGAGGCACATCCAACTCCAGGTTCGCATCGCAGCTCGAGAAGTACGGGTTTCCTAGAGAAGCAATTCAAGGGCTGCAAAAGTTCATCTCGTTCCGCTTGTTTTTGGCAAACAAAGACTCCTCGTTGGTTCGGATACTTGCTCAATCCCAGACGCCACAGTAGGGAGAATCTCGGTATGGCAACATAGCAGGATGGCAAGTTGGTATGGTAAACAGTAACTCACAGATTTTGCAGGTGGACCAGATTGGTCCAGCTATTGGGAAGGTAGCCTTCCAGGTTGTTTCCGCGAAGGGACCTGCAGAGTGTGGGAGCAGGCAACAGACGGACGCTTGAGTATCAACTGGTGGGAGTGATGAGAATCTAGGGCAGAAATTATGAGTGATTTTCTTGAGACAGCGTTGCGGCAACAGAGACGGTCTGAGTGGGCCACCACAGTACGCTAATGCATATCACCTCTAACGAGGCACGCACTTACATTGCATGTCAGCTGCTTTCCCAACACCCTAGCTGCTTTCCCAACACCCTAGCTTTCAACGAAGCAATTCCCAACATCCTATAGAAGAAATTCCCAACACCCTAACAGCTTTCCCAACACCCTAACAGCTTTCCCAACACCCTAACAGCTTTCCCAACACCCTAACAGCTTTCCCAACACCCTAACAGCTTTCCCAACACCCTAACAGCTTTCCCAACACCCTAACAGCTTTCCCAACACCCTAACAGCTTTCCCAACACCCTAGCTGCTTTCCCAACACCCTAGCTGCTTTCCCAACACCCTAGCCGTACTAGCTCTCAACGAGTAAGAAGGAAACCCGATTCATGAAGAGCTGATGCTAAGGATCCTCACCAATTTAAAAGCCACACTAAACTCACAGGAAGGTGAGTGCTGTGAGCTGAGAGAGGTCATCATTCAGCAATCGCCCCTGCCGGTGTGGATACATTGAATACACGTCCCTGCGCACAAGAAGATGCCGGCAAGATCCGGCGCACTCAGAGCAGCTCAATCACAGCCATTGCCATGGCACGCGTGGTCATCCCCGTGCCTTGTGTCGTGGGGGATGTGGCGTGTGTGTGACAATGGTGGAGTTTGAGAGTGAAGTGGGAGGGTGAAGTAGCAGGGTGAAGTAGGAAGAACCCTAAACCCTAAACCCTGGAGCTCACAGATACTGAAGGTTGGTGAGTCGAGTGACCCAAATGGGGAACTCCACAAATTGAAGGCGGGATAGATCCCTGCAGCAGGGAGGAAAGCAAGAGCAGAGCACATCACGTAGACAAGCCAATGGAGCTGCAGTCATGTCCGGCAAGGGGATGGGGATGGGGATGGGGATGGGGATGGGGATGGGGATGGGGATGGGGATGGGGATGGGGATGGGGATGGGGATGGGGATGGGGATGGGGATGGGGATGGGGATGGGGATGGGGATGGGGATGGGGATGGGGATGGGGATGGGGATGGGGATGGGGATGGGGATGTGTTACTCGTGCACACCAACGAATCCGCTTCACCTGTCCCATCGGACTTGAGTAGAGCTTACAGTGCAGTGAGGGCAGTCAGGTATTGAAGCTCTCTGGGTATCTCCCCTGTGGCGTTGGTGAGCCTATTGACATGCCTGTGGACGTGGTCATGCACATGTAATCAGCAATAATGAAAGAACTACTATTGGCAATCGTGACAAGCAGATTAAGAATAGGAACGGGGAGCCACCACCGTCCCGTACGTTCTTATATCGCAATGATGCTTACAGCTGATGTAGGCTTCTCAGGTGTGAAAGAACGTGCAGGGAGGACAGGTCCCCTGTGAATGGCAAGTAGTCTAGAGACCTGGTTGAAGAGAGGGAAGTGCGACATGGGAGAAGAGAAGAGAAGCCATTGGGGACTGTTGCAGAAAGTGTAACGTAGCAGCATGGGGACTGCTGCATCGCACGATGTGGCGTGCAGCGTGTTAGGGTGGTTCGCCGCTACCCTATTACCCACCTGAGCACTTAACCTAGGGTTGGTAGAACAATGCTAGGAGCGGTGGGTAAAGTCAACAATGCTAGGAGCCACGCCACCACTGTACCGTACGTTCTTGTATGGCAATGATGCTCACAGGTGATGTAGGCTTCTCAGGTGTGAAAGAATGTGCAGGGAGGACAAGTCCCCTGTGAATGGAATGGAGGAGACTTTTGAGTCGACCCACAAGTTAACTTTGCTTACAGCTGCTGTAGTTTTCTCAGATGAGACAGAATGTGCAGGGAGGACAAGTCCCCTGTGAATGCCGTCAAGTACTGTAGATTCCTGGTTGAAGAGAGGGGAGTGCGACATGGGAGAAGAGAAGTCATTGTGGGTGGTGTAGCGTAGGAGCACGGGGAATGCTGCATCTCAGAGCTAGAACGGTGGGGCTGGACGGAAAACGAAGGAGCAAGAAAACCGAAAACAAGTTGGCAAACGTTGAGAAGCAATTTGCCTCAGCCTGAAATGTCCAACCGCAATTGAACCATGTTTGGTACAAACGCAACAGGTCAGTTTTGGTTTCAGGGTTGGTTAGTGAATCCGGTTCCACCATACAGCACGTGGCTAAATGCGGCAGACGCATTACACGAGGCTCCCAACTCTTTCTTAATTGCTTAAAGCTCTAGGCCCAAATTGCGCAAGATTAGTAATCTTGCGCAAGGCTTAGGGCTGGGGAGCTTGGGAGTCGAACACAAACTCGAGAAGGTGTTCGGTTGGTTTGGTTGGCTGATTTCGCGGCATCTCTCGCCAGCTTCGCTCAGTCAGCAAACCTACGGGCAAACTTCCAGTTTGGGACCTCGAGTCCCAAATTGCAGAATAAGCAAACTTGAAGTTTGAGCAGTGGGTTTGGCGACGACCAATCGGATTCCTTCGTACCTACTGTAACCCTACACTCGCCAACTCACAGCACTCAAAACAGCAGCAGGGCAAGATTAGTAATCTTGCCCAGCGCGGCCCGCAATTTGGGCCTTGAGCTTTAAAAAGTTTTGTTTGAGCCGAATTGTGCAATTCCTTGTTTTGAACAAATATGTAGCTGAAAATTCAGAAATTCTCCAGCCACATCTTTTCCCTAACGTCATCTAAAGGCGATTGCTGAACTAAGACAGCAAGGCTGGATGGCAAAGTGGAAGAAGAGTGACAGTGACCGTGATTGCTCGCACGAATAACATCGGCTCGTAAGGCGAACTGTGTTTGCATTGCATGAAGTACAGTATTTGCAGGTTGGTGAGGGAGGAGAGCCAAGCCAGTCCGTCCAGAGTGCCAATGAGACCACTAGTACCAGTGATGAAACTGCTACCAACCGACCCAATAGCTCTGTGTGCACATGGGGCATGCAAGCAGCAACAGTACACATGAAGGGTGCACGTGGTACAGTTAGTGGGGCATGGGACCACATGGGGCAGGGCAGCCACGCAGCCATGGGGATGCAGGGTTTAGGAGAAATAAGGATATTATTATTTGGAATAAACGGGGACTCCACGAGTATGTGTACAAGCGATTGGTAATGAACGGCGTGAGAAAAGAGACAGGAAATGATAGTTGTGGTAGGGAAGGGAAATGACTCCAGTTTTAAAAAAATTGCAGGAACAACGATCAATCAAGCTGGAAAGTGCAGGATGAGGGGTGCAGAGGAGTGAAGGAGGGTGCTGGACGGGCATATTGGATGGGAAGGGCCTAGTCCAACATTCAGTTGACCTGGTTTGGAACAATGGAAGAGCAACACTCACAGGTGCGTGAGGTCAGTGAGAGTGGCGAGGGATGGAATGGACCCGAACAGATTAAAGTAGGTCAGATCACTGTGGGATGGGATGGGATGGGAGCGCATGAACAGCAGTGGAGATGGCAAGAGGAAGCCTGAGATCAGCAGTGGTAAATTGGAGCCTTGAGATCTGTGGCTGGCATTGAAGTTTTGCAGCTTTTGAGGCGCCTCAAAAGTTGTGGCTGGCATTGAAGTTTTGCAGCTTGTGGTGTGGCTAGTGCGCAAGGGAGGCATGCAAGGGCGGGAAGAGGGTATGGTCAGTTGTGGCATGTGAATGCGAGAACGAGATGGAAGGACAGAGCAGTACGAGGTTGGGGCGAGGCCATGGCAAACTAAGGAAAGGTTTGGTAGATGCAATGCATGCAAGATGGATGTAGCGGAGGGAGAGGGAGGGTGGGTGGGAGGGTGGGTGGGTGGTGACGCACAGGAGTTGCAAAGTGGAAAGACCGGTGATGGAGGCAGGTATGGAGGGAGGGGGGGAAACCCAATTAGGCCGTATTAGCTTTGAATCCCTGCCAACACACGAATGCATGCACGCACGCAATACCAACCAGCTCCCATTTCTCCCCCATCTCCCGCCCATCCCAGTTCCCTTCCCCAGATATCCAGTCCTCCCCCATCCCACCCCCCACATCCTTCAACCCATTCCCCCCTTGTCCGGATTGCAATGCTCCCGCACACACAGAAAATCCAGCACGATCAAGAGGAGCAGACAGCGGAAGGGCGATACAGTGAAACACTGTGGGGGAAACGAGAGCACAGAGGGGGCCAGTGAGGACTAACGTCGGAGTACTGAGGGGGCATAGTATCGCCCAATGCCTTAGACTAGGTTGGCCAAACGAGGGTTATTCAGCGCTGCAACAGTCCCCTTGTAACCCGTTGGTGTAAGACTGGATACATGACACCCGTGCTGTCCTGCTGTCAACGTTGCTGCCTCGTTGGAATAATATACCCGTGCTGCGCCTGGTGTCAAACGTCCTCGTTGGATCAGGGGGTCGGCTTCGCAGGAACCTCGGAGTTGGGTTACCACATTCGAATTTTCGCTCCACCACATTTTCAGGCGAAAAACGAGGCTATCTGGTTTCGAACCCTAGGCCACGGATACCAATACAACGCCCATGACATAGACCATGGCCTAACTGGGAGGCAATTACAGCAACGAGGGGCAAGCAGGACGTGTTAATAAAGGGAGACACACAGCACCGAGCCCTTTGGGGCGGCAGGTGACGCCAGACCATGCAATGCAGTGCACGCAATGAGACTCACAGGGCAACGACGAGCCCTTTGGGGCTGCAGGTGACGTTCCATGCAATGCACGCCGTGGTGGCGTTGCTGTTGTCCGGCCACATGCCCCACGCCTCCTTCAGCTGCAGCAGCACCTTTACTGTCGGTACAGGGAATGCAATTGGGAGGGGAGAGGAGGGAGGGGACGAAGGGGGGGGGGGGGGGGTGGGGGGGGGAAGCCGTGGTGGCATTGCTGTTGTCTGGCCACATGCCCCACGCCTCCTTCAGCTGCAGCAGTGCCTTCACTGGTGGCACAACCAACGGGGAAATGGGAGCACATTTACTGCAGAAAAGAAAGGGCGGGGACCTTGGACGGCACATCTACCTCAGTGCCGGCACGTGCGCATGGGCTGGGTCGGTGTGACGTCGCACTTTGAAGGGCGGCCCGCACTTTGACGTCGGATTCTCTCTGTAACGCCTGTGGGCTAGTGGTGGCTACTATTGTTAAGGGCATTCCGAGGCTGCGCCTACATAACACCCTCGTTTTGACCCAGTGATTAGCGAGGTGTCGCGACTCTCTCTCTCTCTCTCTCTCTCTATCTCTCTCTCTCTCTCTCTCTCTCTCTATCTCTCTCTCTCTCTCTTCTCTCTCTCTCTCTCTCTCTCTCTCTCTCTCTCTCTCTCTCTCTCTCTCTCTCTCTCTCTCTCTCTCTCTCTCTCTCTCTCTCTCTCTCTCTCTCTCTCTCTCTCACTCTCTCTCTCTCTCTCTCTCTCTCTCTCTCTCTCTCTCTCTCTCTCTCTCTCTCTCTCTCTCTCTCTCTCTCTCTCTCTCCTGCTCATGACAAGAGGAGCTCTGAGTGCGGACTCCGGATCCCATTCGAAATGGGAGGATGATATAGGAAGCGCGCTGAGCTCTCAGTGTGAGGAAGCGCGCTGAGCTCTCAGTGTGAGGGACCGCGCCTGAGAGCTGGACTGGACAAACCGACTCACATTGCGAGTTTTCTAGAACGATTTCAGCGCTCGCGTCGGCCGCGGCAGCGCCGGCGGTAGCGGCGAGCTTCAAAAGAGAGCGTTGGGCACGGCTGGGCCGAGCGCGAGACAGCAGGCGTTGTCTGGACGGACGTGGGGCATCTCGGCGCGCGGCGGTGGGCGATTAGCGCCGCTGGAAACGGAGCACGCAGCGGCGCCCAGCGGCAGTGAGCGCGAGGGCCATCGAGAGGAGAATGCAAGCTGCGACATTTGCCGAGCCGCGTGGCCGCGCGACAGGCCGGTGAGAACGAATTTTAGGCATGGTGATACTGCGCATGATTCAAGTTGACTTTTGAGTCGACTCAAAAGTCAACTCGCATGATTCAGGCTTGTACTGAGGGCGTGTCCAGCGCGTAAGTTTACACCACATGTGCCGCTACAGGTACCAATTTTTTGAATGTAACCACAGTGTTACACTATTTTTGGACATTGTACACTCGTGGACGTAAAGTACGGACACGCCGAACACGTGCGTCGACTCGTGCAAATTACGCGCAACGCACGTAACAGCCCCCTGATTCGAGGTGTATGCGTCCGACTTGCAACAGTATTCCGTTC